CCATGAGGAATAGCCTGGGGGAGGTTAACACAGTAACAGAGCGAGGCAATGAGCCAGGATCACTGTTGGGATCCACTGGGAAATAACATGTAAAGCGCTGCCTGTCAGTGCGGGGGCGAGCCCAGGGAAATAATCAGGGATTGGTGTGAACTCACTGCCGTTTCTCTGATCTTAATTCCCCATTCTGGGATAACACACATGTAAAGAATTGCGTCACTGATTCCTCTGTTTTTCCATCTTAGGAGATTTCCCTAAAAAACTAAAAGCAACCCTTTTTTTCCCACACACACACACACACACACACACACACACACACACACACACACACACACACACACACACACACACACACACACACACACACACACACACACACACACACACACACACACACACACACACACACACACACACACACACACACACACACACGCTGCCTTCACATCATGCAGCTCTCATATCACATAGTGTAGACACACAGTGTGTAGCTCAGATGTAGATCATTTGACTAACACACTCACATCACGTCCTGCACTGACTCCCTCATTTTGTCACACACTTGCCTCCGGAGGCCTCGACTCGTCAAGCTATGACATCTGTCTTTGTGGGGCGATTGCCTCCAAAGCAATCCATGCAACACCACAGGAATGGTTGCGCATATTTGCCTCGATTCATCATTTCTTGGCATGATGACATAGAGCCGTCCCACTGTACCATCACCAGTCAGTCAGTGAGCGGCTGCATGAAAGTTGTGTGGCTGATTGGATCCACCTGGAGGAGATTGTGTGAATGATGACTAAGACGAATAGCCAGTTTGGAAATGAAGGAGTTAGGTACATAAGGTGTCCTTGTTAGAGCAGCACATAGAAAGCTCTAGCTACATATTAAAGGATGTCTGAAAGGATGAAGCAGGTTGACTGGATTGTTTAGCAGATGTGTCACAGTTTTTTTTCCCAACCCTCCATGCCACTCTCTCATCCCGAGCTCTCTTCATTACTCGCTCTGGTCCAACTCTCCAAACACTCACACAGACTCACACACTTTGAGGCATGTTCACGCTCTGTGTGTGTGAGGGCTTCGGGCTGTCTCATTGTCAAATCATCAAGTGCATTAGGGCTCTGGTGTGGACAGTTCAATGCCAAATTGTGCCCCTGCTGTGAGAGTGTAAAATCTGCAGACTTTCCTGAGGGACTTGCCCTTACACTTGTGAAGGGTAAATGGACAGCATTTTTATGCCCTTTACATACATCCATACACACATTCAAACCTAAGTCTAGTGTTGACTTTGACTTGAAATGGGATCTATGTGCAGCATTGATTCCAAAATGCATGGCATAGAGGAAGTTTGAAGGAGGAGCTAATAGTGTAGCCTCATGTGCATTTGGTAACGAGTGAAAATATTTGTTGTTATGATGACTGTTATGTTTTATCAAGATCATGAAACACAGTGAAAGGCTCTGACAAAGCATCAGACAGCTGATGCAGCTCTGAAGGCTGAATGTTTGTTTTCAGTAAATGTCTGTTTCCTCTCCCCTCCTTCTTTGCCTTTGCTTCATGCATATCAAGCGGTATTTCTGTGTTAAAAAGAGGTGCGTACAGGTGCATGTTTCTACCTCAGAGACGCAGGAAACAAACTGCACCGTAGACCATCTAAAACATGGTCTTAAGTTTGTACAGTATGTTCCTGCTATTTAAAGCGTTTTAGAAACATCACTCAGCTTCTTGGCGTTTCTTTGATTGTTTCTGATAATGTGGGGATGCTCATGTGAAATACTGTACAACAACAGTCGACCATCGACAAGTCTCACAGTGTCCTGATAATGAATCATGGACATGATGTTGTTTATTTATTTTCTAGTCTTCTGACTCCTCAAAGCTCTTTTACACCTCAGGTCACACCTACATATTCACACACTGATGGTAGAGACTGCTGTGTAAAGAGTCCATGAGGATTAAATAATCCACACACACACACACACACACACACACACACACACACACACACACACACACACACACACACACACACACACACACACACACACACACACACACACACACACACACACACACACACACACACACACACACACACACACACACACACACACACACACACGAAGCAGCAGAAGCAACTTTGGGGTTGAGCTTCACATGTGTCCTTGGGTATGTCTTATAAAGAATGAGAGCTGATACCCTGATTGTTTTGATTCTCTGTGTGTGTGTTTTGTGGAACAATGAGAGGAGAGAAGTTAAATGAGCCTGCTGGCGTTCAGTCTAATTAAGAATAAAGAGTGAAATCCAGATTTTAAATATCAACAGAGCAGCCTGCAGGCACACCTGACTGATGAAGAGAATGAGAGCTGAGGCCGTGATTGGTTTGATTTATGTCTCTCCGTTAACACACCTGTGTAGAATCAAGTGACTTTATCGTCCCTCTTTGTGCCCCGCGCCACCCTTCACGCCTAGATAGTGCACCACATAACTAGCAAAAGTAACTTTACAAATTGTCCCCTGAAAACAAGTTTGTTTTTCAAACTGGAGGGGGCATGAGGTGCATGATTATTTCCTGTTGGTACAGTATTGAAGGGTAGGTCTGTGTGTCACCAGGTTCCCCTTAGACCTTTCCACCAGACTTCCTCATACCCATGTTCTGACTTTCACATTTATCAACCCAGATCTGTTGTTCCTCTACAACTTTACTTGTTGCAATGTTTTCCCTTCAGTTGTTGCTTGTGAGTTTCAGAACCAGCCCGCCTGTCTGTTTACCTCCACTTGATACAAATGCTTTGCCCTGCATGATCTATGTTGACAAGATGACTCTGGACGACTGATGCTGCAGGAAAGTGATAACATGTTAGAACCAAAGTGTTTGGGCTGCATTCTGTAAGAAAACATCACTGAAAGAGTCTACATGTTTTAAAAAATGTCACAACCCGACATAAAAAGAGAGACTACCTTTACCCTACATTTGTTCTTATTGTCGACAACGTTAGCGCCTCTAATGGTTCCTCCTGCTTTTACTGTCTTGTGGCTTCCACCCCAAGGATCTAAAAGCAGGTCACGTGTTTTTGTGAAGCAGGGTCAGGATTTCTCTAAAATAACTGAGCATAGTAGGGATCGCATACCTTCGCTACTAGCAGCTGCTCTGCTGATAATGATCAAATATGTTTATTAAAGCGCGCTAAACTACCAGGAAATTGGTGAGCTTTAGTCCTGAGCTCCTGCAGCCACATGTCTGATGTGTCCTCGGGCAAGACACTTAGCCCCAAGTTACTCCTGGTGCTAAGTCAGCGACGTGTGGATGTGTGAATAGTTTAGTAACTTCTGATGGACTCTTTACTCAGCAGTCTCTACCATCAGTGTGTGAATGTGTAGGTGTGACCTGCAGAGTAAAAGAGCTTTGAGGAGTCAGAAGACTAGGAAAGAAATATACAAGCTCAAGTCCATTCACCATTTACCTTCTTAAAGCTCCTCTGGGGGTTTGGGTGGTTATAAAACAGATTCAATCATGTCATTTAGTTTTTACTTCAAACATCTGTAACCACTGCCACATCTGGGTCAGTCAAAGTGATGAATAGCACACTGCTCAGAACTTTTTGGATTTCACATTGAGTGATCCGTCTGAGTAGACAGCAGGGTGACTCTGTTCTGTCAGAAAACACTACTGACACATGCAGGACAAGATCAACCACGAGAAACAAATCTGACTAGTCTTCTCGTCGGTACAATATCCAGGTTCAACAACAGGATTCATTTACATTGTTTTCATGTGTTTCACGGCTGTTCCCTTAGACAACTACTTCCGGTTGGGCTCTGTAGTTTTTAGTAGAACCCAATCGATTAATCGTTTTTTGAAGATGTTACGAGATTTATTCACCAGTCAAACAGCATTTCATTTGAGTTTCATTGTATTAAACCAGCAGTTGTCTTTCACCAGCAGAGGGCGCTATATGGACTACAACAAGCATCATCACTCTCCAGAGCGGTGACACTCGTACATGCACAGTTATTTTTTAGTTGAGTGACCATCTTGTCTTCCTTTGCACTTCTTTGATAAGTGCATTTGATTGATCAACGTAATAAATATGAATATCTCTAAAGATCAAACATAGATCTAAGAAAGATATTTTCTTAGATTTTTTTCTCTCCCTAATATCGGTATCGACCCCAAAGATCCCATATCGGTCAGGCCCTATTTTTTGGGGGAAAAAAAACCTTCACTGTAGTAAATAATACATTTAATGAGAACTATTCTCCACTGCTCTTAAATCACATTTGTGGGCAAGACTTTCTATGATGGTATCGATGCGTTTGATTAAATGTACCAAAATAAAGTGTGCCAAATTTTGCACAGTTTGAAAGTAATGAGGTTGTATAGTGTTTGATATGTAAAAGTAGGGCCCAACTGATATGGGATTCTTGGGGCCGATACCGATATGGATATTGGGGAGAAAAAAATCTGATACCGATATATCAGCCGATATCTTTCTTTAATCTATGTTTGATATGTAGAGATAGATAGATATACACACACATTTGTTACGTTGATCCCTCAAATAAAGTTATCAAACACTTGTGGAAAAGAAACACAGTATATATACTTCTTGACACACTAGAGAGTGATACTGCTTGTTGTAATCCTTATAGCGCCCTCTGCTGGTGAAAGAGAACTGCTTATGTTATAAAATTAAACTCAAATTAAATGCTGTTTTACTGGTGAATAAATCGAGTAATATCGGTGCATATCTGTGATAAAACTGGCCGATACCGATAGTCACTGGGTGTGCTACTATCGGCTGATATTATCGGCTGGCGGATTACTCAGTCAGGCTCTTTGTAAAAGAGGGGTAACGTTAAAATGAGGTCCTAGGATTCAGACTCTTTAGATAAAAGGTGTTAATCACAATGACATGTGAATATGAAGAATCCTAATTATGTAACGTGACCTGTGTCCAGCAGCCAGACGCACAACTATTGTAAAATTGGTGTGCTTTCAGAGAGAGAATATTCAGTCTCTCTTTTCCTCTCTCTCACAGATAACAGCGTTTGATGAGCTCCAGGCAGACTTCAAGGTGCCGATCGATCAGGGTAATCCACTCCATGCGGTAGGTTTTCCTCTCCCCACTATTCATTCATTACAAATATTTTATTTTTGTTGTCCTTTAAGTTATTATGTCATCGTTTAGGGGCAGAATGCAATCGTCTGCTGATATTGAGAAAAGTGATTTTCACATAACCTAATAGATGGTAAATGGTAAAAAGCTCTACAGTAGGAGATTCTTCATCTCATCTTTCACCCTGTGTGTGTGTGTGTGTGTGTGTGTGTGTGTGTGTGTGTGTGTGTGTGTGTGTGTGTGTGTGTGTGTGTGTGTGTGTGTGTGTGTGTGTGTGTGTGTGTGTGTGTGTGTGTGTGTGTGTGTGTGTGTGTGTGTGTGTGTGTGTGTGTGTGTGTCTCTCCTCTCTCCTTCTCCTTTAATTTCAAATCAAGTAGCTGCCAACCCACTAGTTTTGGGGGCGGCTGTGGCTCAGTTGGTAGAGTCGTCGCCTCTCCAGCTGAGCAACATGTCCATTGTGTCTTTGGGCAAGACACTTAACTCTGAATTGCTCCCACTGCTTCAGTGGCAGTGTATGAATGGATTAGTTACTCTGATGGATGATAGCAATCACTACCATCAGTGTGTGAAAGGGTGTGAATGTGTGGGTGTAAAAGTGCTTTGAGTCGTCAGAAGACCAGAAAAGCTTTCACAAGCCTTTAGGCTAAACATAAAGTATGAATAAATCATATATTTAAAGAGTAAATCCTTGACTCCAAATAGAAATACAAATCAAGCAGAAACCGGAGATAAACATGGCATCTCAAGTTGGTTTGAGCCCTGTGTAATCTTCCATTTACCCATTAACCCATCATTGGATTGGCCCCGTTTGCAAATACTTCAAACCCCCTCAGTCTGCTTTAACCAAACTACCTAACATCTGAAATCAGTGCAGCCAGCTAACACCGTGTTGATGATTCTACATGTGGTCAAGTATATTCTGCGCCGGGCCCGGGTCCCTTATGTGGACCACCCTGAAATTCAAAAGTGTTTTTTGGGGGCGCTGGTGGTGTAGTGGACCAGTGGTTAGAGCACGCGGGCCATATATGGAGGCTGTAGTCCTCCAAGCGGGCGGCCCAGGTTCAAATCCGATCTGTGTCTCTTTTCCTGCATGTCATTACCCACTTTCTCTATCCACTGTCCTGCCTCTCCATTTAAGGCACCAAAAGCCCAAAAGTAGATCTTAAAAAAGTGGTTTTTGTTTGTTTGTGGAATTCTTTGTAGTCCGAGCTGTATTGACCGATGACGTAGCAGCAGGCGTTGGTGTGAACAGGAAAAGTAGTATTAATTCAGACTGATGCATGTTTAAACAGGTTCACAGGTTGTTAATACACTGGATCATACACATATCCTCCTCACTTCCTGGTTAACTAACTGGACCTGCAAATAGGTGTGCTTAATTCTTAACACATATGTTGCATGTAAATGTGTAAACATATTGATAATGTGTTTATTATGAAAGAGAGAGAGACCCTTTAAGGCATGGCCAGTTTAGCGTCTACATTACACACTTTATCTCGCTCTTACCTTCTTCTTCTGCCTTGGTATCTTCCATGCACAGCCATCAGAAGAAGTTGTAGAGAAACACTTGCTTTAGTGCCAGCCGCCATGGGGAGTCTTACCCCCAATGAGGTTGTTTTAGGATGGATTCCAGCCCTCTAAATCCCTTCCCCTTGGGTCTTTTTGGCTTTTACTAACACAGGCGGCTCTTAATAATGCATGGTAGTACAGTACCGCATGAGGAGTGAGTTTGGAGGTGACTTTGACTTAAGAGCTCTGAAACTCTCTGACCATGAAGAATTGACTTCTACACATGATGAGAGGAAGGAAAAGAGGAACACAACTGGAGAAGAAGACTGAAAATACAAACTTGGTAAAAGAGCAAGGTTGAATATGAAGATGGAGAAATGGATGGATGAGTGAGGATTTCTTAAGAAGCAAATGGAAGAATTCTTCAGCTTTTGTTGTTTTTTTTTGGGGGGGGGGCATTAAGTATTAAGTTAAATGGTCTTCAAGACTTCCAGACTCCTCCTCCAGATTACCTCCTTACTGAGGTACTCTGCTCTTCCTCTGCTCTTGTGTGAAATGACACTATATAGTCAACAACTTATATAGATATAATGAGGAGGGAGGAGGGAATGAGTGTGTGATTTTGGTCTTATTAGCTTTAGCTAACAACCATTGGCTATTCAGTGTTTCCCCTACCATTATATTAGGGGGGCGTTTTGACTTCCTTCATCTGACTTTTTCTTTGGATGTATATTTGTTTCTGAAGAATAATTGACCTTTTTTTTTTTTTTTTTAAGAAACTCAGTCGACCACACCATGATGCCTTCTCTCTCTGAGTGAGGATGGACATAATGTTTCCTCTGTCTTGTCTGACAAAAAAAAAACATGGTGTCAACATGAGGATCAAACTTCTCCATAATGCTCTATTTTATTTTCTTAGGTCGAGATAAAGATTTAATGGCATTAGATTTGTTTAAGTGTATTGTATTGGGGGAAAAGTATGAAAAACTAAATTTTAATAGTTTCTCAGAATATAAAAGCAGCCATTCTTCTCCTCTCAGCCACAGGACATACCTTCTCATGTGTCTCTCAGTTACTGCTGCACTGTCTTCTACCCGGTGTTTCTTCCTTCCTCTCTTTCTTGAACGCCGGCAGTCTAATTAGCAGTTTGTGTCAGCTCGTTCCCTCGAGGGAGGACCCTCACATTGTGGACCTGTCACAAACACAAACACAGACACAATCTCACTGTCTTCTCTGTCACTCTTTCTCTCTCTCATATACACATTAATACAAAATCATTCTTGTTGGTACTGTTATGGCTGTATGTTTCCCTGTGCCCTGTGTTCCTTCTCCCCTTCTGTTGTCTCCAGCCCAGGTGAAGCTACTAATTGCACAACGAGGTACACCTGGCCTCAGTGCTTAAAAGGCCAGTGCTGGCTGCAGAGAGGAGAGGCATTTTGAGTTGGGACTGTGCTGGTCAGTCAGGGATCGTCTGGTGTCTTTTGTTTCTCTTTTGAGCTTTTTATCATTTAGTGTGTCATATTGTAATAGATCCCTTTGTTTTGGCTTATGCTAAGGTGGTTAGTGTCTTTTAATGGGTCAATGTATAGTTTGCTGTTAGCCCCATAGGGCTGTCTTATGGTGGGGCGTAACAGTACAGTCATGGGAGTTGTTGGTGTGATGAGAAGTGTTGGCAAGTCCAACCATGGGAGCAGAGTGTTTGAAGATACTGTGTGTGGCTGAGTATCGTCTGAGTGGAAGTCCTTCTTTGTGAATTTTCTGAAGCCCATGAGTATAGTATTGAAGTACTCAACATCGGTGTTGTTTCTCAAGGCCGGTTTCGAGATCATTTTTTGAAGGTCTCGATCTCGGCATTGAAATCATTTTTACTCTGACTTGTCTCGGTTTTGGTACTGGGCCGACTCAGGATTGTAAATCTAGACCAGTCAAGACCAAGACCGATTTCAAGTACTCTGAAAACCATCTCTTAACCGAGGTGTTGGTCTGAGACACCATCTATCACCAACCTACAATGCCATTTTAAATTCTTTGTCAAAACAACTGGAGCCCCAGTCTCTTCCCCCCCCTTGGAACACAAGACCCTACCCACCCACTGAAGACCTGGAGTGGAAACTCTCGACGGTAACTAGGTCAAAGACTCAGCTAACGACTCCCATGTGACTTTCCTTGATCATTAGCATGCTGATGATCCACAGAAGCTTATACTTCTATCTCGGTCCAACACTTAGTTTAGAAGGAGAGGTGAAACATCTTCAAGATCTTCAACCAGGTCTAGGTGCTTTTGGATCAAGCTTTGATTTTAAATGTCTGTTATGGTTTCTCATATGCAGACACACACACACACCAAGGTTCGGAGATGTGAATAATTTCCATGCGCACATTGCTTTAATAAGAAAGGATAAAGCTGCCAGGAGCGATGATAATATCTGGGTCTGAAATCAGAGTGATAACTGAAGCAGGATATGGAGGGAAGTTTTTTTTTTTCTTACTCGCATGTTTTATGAATATACATCTTAGCGCTCTTTTTCCTTAGCAGAAGCGATTGATGTTCGTCAGTATCGCACCAAGGGCCAAATGATGACTGCTAATGTAGCCTCTTCACATGCTTTAAATGTTCACCTTCACTCCTCTCCTGCTGTATCACTCCATCTCCCTCGCTGCTGCACGCCTGTCTACAACACTTTAGTTCAAGCTTTATGGGAGTCAAGGGGGGAATTTATTTCACAGCTATTAAACACACACAGTGAAACATTAGCATGTCCACACCGGCTTTTTGGGGGTTCAGTGTCCAGTCATGGCTTACTCAGTGCACTTCCTGTAAATAAGAACTTCTTAATTGGTCTGCATGTTCAATCCAACCTCCAACCCCCCCCGACATCTCTTTTCCAACCATCCCCACCCTCTTCTTCAACTCCTGTTTATACTTGCACGGCGCTCTTGCCTGTCAAGCCAATTCTTGCTGAGTAACATTTCAAAGAGGCATCAGCCTAATTGCTTGCTAATGAGAAGACAGTTGCGGCAGTGTGTGCACATGTACAACCAATAAACACACACACGCACACAAATCTGCTTTAAGTGGAATATATTTGGGCATCCTCATTCGAACCCCGAAAAAAAAAAGATGAACGCTGAGGGGGAGATGGTGTTGTGCGGGGGGGGGGTGTCCAGCTCTTGATGAGGTGTACGGTCTGAACCAGAAATAGACATTAGCAACGCAGCTAAATGGCAATCACACACGGCTGCTCATGGTACGTGTGTGTCCAAGTGTATATATGTGGATGTGTGTATGTACACGAGGTCGTTTGGAGGACAGAGGGAGGGTTTCAATTCTGCATTTTCAAGAACATGAAAGACTTCCTGTGCAGGAATCTTTAATCTAGCACTGTGAATACAGATTCCTGTCCCAACCACATTTTTTTTTTCCCGCTCATCCTCCTCCCAATCACGGATTGCCTTTTTTTTTTGCCTGTCGTGCAGCTTCTGAACATTTCACTTTCAAGTCCATCTTTCTTAAGCTGAAATGTCTTTTCCTTGTACTTTGAAACATGTGAAATAATGAAAAAGTTAAAAGGAACCACATTATTCTTTTTTTCAACGTCTTCCTCCGTGTGCCTTTTTCGGTCTGGAAATGAGGTAGAGTCCCAGGAGGTGTTTTAGGGAGATAAGAGCTGAAGTTGTGCTACTTAAGTTGGCATGTCCCAACACACACACACACACACACACACACACAGCACTAAATAACTGAATGAAAGCTACAGAATGACACATTGGTCCCAAACATTTTGGTACAACCCTGCACATGTTTTTCTTCTTTGTTACGGTCGTGTTACCTCAGACTTGTTTGTAGCCTCCTGCCCAGGAACTCCTTCGTTCATTATTCAGATCACAGGCATCAATTAATCATCAACAAGAGAAACCTCTGTAGCAGTCTGCACTTCTTAAAAAATAGTAATCAAATATGCATGTTTACATCTTCAGCCATGCATATTTGAGGTAATGATCTTAAGTACATGCTTCAGGAGTTTGGAGAACACATCTTTCCTTCAAAAACATTAAACAGACAATGTAATATCACTGCCATGAAAGGTATGGCACTATAGGTCTTGGAAATGTTTGAATTTGCTTTGTTCATGATTTTTTTTGGCCACTTGGGGGCGCCAGAACAAGCTGTAAACACGTTACTTACATACTTTTCACATAACCCCTCCTGCACACACTTTTATTTGCTTATGTGCCATAAGTTAAAGTGCAGATTTGAGGGTTAATTTCATGTTCAAATACATTTCTAGTGCAGTGCCCTTTCAGAACGTGCCTGTTTGTAATGAGTTTGGTGAGAGCGTGGCTGGTCAGGAATGGCTCCGGGCAACATGTAGTTCTGTGGTCAGCCGAACAACTTCACATACAATATTTTCCATCCTCAGTCCTTGAACAATAGACCTAAAATGACATACAGTTGTTTTCTGTTCTAGCAATACAGTAGAGGCTATGCATCATGCTAATGAAGTTGGAGTTCCATTCAATGTGGATGAGGTTCAGACTTTACATACGTTAATAGAGCGATATGAGGCGATGTTGTTCCCAGGAGCAAGCAGGCATACTTTTGTTAGCGACTGTTGGCTAATGTGTAATAGTAAAACGGAAAGGCGGACTTAGTCCTAAAGTTAGCCTCCATTTAGCAAAACTCAGCGACCTAAATAACATGGCCTTGGGGCGAGTCTCCTTCTGCGCGTGCTCTGTGTGTTGTTTCTGCTCGTCTCCTGTTTCCGGTAGGTTTTGATTCCATCGTGTTGAGCTACAAACTATTTAAAATGTTTTAGCAACAATATGAGCTCATCTAAACTTCACTATCAGAACTGCACTTCCTAGAGTCCACAGCAATAAACCCGCCAAGTCTGACGAATGGTTGTCTGGAAACTTGACTTACAAACATACACATACACACACACACACACACAGATTCCTGGATTCATATATAGATGTTGCACACTTGAAACATGGACACGTAAGCGCACTATAGCTGATGTAAAAAAATCTGAGAGCTGCTAAAGTCTGCCAAAAAAGCTGCAGTGACTCATCCATAAAGAAGAAAATAATCTTAAACTCCACAAACAACAACACACACAAACAGTCAATCAAGACTGTGTGGCTCCTCAGATTTCCTGTTTAGACACGATCAGTGCTTCCAAATAGAGTTTCACTGTGACTCCAGCACAGAAACAGGACAGAGAGAATAAATCATCCCTAATGATCGATCCCCCGTCGACAGCTGAACAACGACAGCTTTTAAATACGCTGTGTACACAATCACAAGAAACATCAAACACAAAGTGAAAAGTCAATAATGTGGAGGCCAAGATTGATGCCACACAGAGACTGATTTTGTATTTCCACATACTCACCAATTTCCTTATCAACTGTGGCACCGTTAAGCTGCCACCCAAGTCAATGCCCCACAGCGAGCGCCATGGTCCATCTCCTGAGCGCGCCAGCAGCACCTCACCGCTCCGTTTCAAATACACTGCTAGTATATTTTCGACAGAGCTCGCTTCAAGCTGGACAGAATAGAACAACCCGGACAGGAAGTCAGACAAGTAAACACACAGAGCGTCCGGTCAATTTCAAAATAAAACACAATATACAGACTCGTAAGAAAAAAAAAAAAAAGATGATAATTAATGACAATAATGATTACGATGATGTTGACAGTTACGATTACGGTCAACTGAAATATTCAAACCCACTCACTCTCTTTGTCCGCCTCCTGCCACACAACAGGTAAAATAAGGTGAAACCACGTCATGGCTCCTTCAGTCAAGGATAACCCGCTCTGCTCAACAAATATCAATTTAATGGGAAACTGTCTGCCTATAGTGAATGATCAAATCTGGGCTCTCACCCACATAGACACACATACACATACACACACACACACACAAACACACACACACACACACACACACACACACACACACACACACACACAGTCATTGAGCATTGGTTGAGTTTTGTTGGAACGTTTTGACACAGTAACAAACCAACAACACTGAGATGTAGGCAGCAGTACAATGTGGTGTTGAACGTGTACAGAAGCTGACCGAGGTTTTATGGAAAAGGGAATTAAAATAAGCAGTTGACTGTGTGGAGTGTTTGTATCTGTGTCTTGTTTTTGGACTGTGTTGTGTCAAAAAGATGAATAAACAAAGTGCTTAGAAGCAGCAAAATAGGTTTCACCCACTGGAGCATATTGTTTTGATCCAGTTGTTCCTGTCTGTGTGTGCACACTAAATATTAGTTCAGCTTTGGACATGCTGGCTCTGACGCTCGCTACAAGCCTCAGTGTTTTCTCGTAATTTCTAACGTTCCCATGGAGCCTCTGGTGTTGACGTTTGCAGCCAGCGTATGACAGCAGAGATAAAGTCAAATTGACTTTGCACAGGCACACAGCATGAAGCTCGGATCAATATATGATTTATGAGCAGCCAGAGTTATGCATCGCTCCCCGTGGAGCAGCCAGGCCTGCCAGTCACGTCCAGATTGCGTCTCTATAGGAATAACTAAATATTTCATGACAATGTAAAAAGCTTGAGTGTAATGATGGCGGTTAAAGTCAGCATTGTGGTAAGTGCTGATTTAGGCCTTTTACAGCTTGAACACAAATATCAATATTATGTAACATACAAGTACTTAATGTATGTGACATAATGATATTGTGAAGCTTAAGTTTTGATCATTGGAATATCAAATACTGATTTTATTTTTCTATTTTCATTTTTTTTTTATCCCTTTCCTAAATACAAATCTGTTTGTATTTATTAAATGTAACATTAAAATTACATCAATTACATCTGAATAAATACTCGGAATATAATTTATACTGCTGTGATAAAAACATCATGTAAATTATACTTTGATACATTAGCTCAACGGTAAACATATCCTCTTCTTCAGGTCGGTTTCACCCGGTCGTCTCGACTACGGTTAACTCTGAGTTATTTTTCATTGGGGGGAGGGAGTAGCAGAGCAAATCACTCCCATGATTCCCCGCCAGTCTTGACATCATCTTGTCTTAGTTTTGATTTACCTCTGAACAATTGAGCGCCATTCTGACACTCAAGCATGAAAACTGTGCACCATTTTCTCAAAACAATATAATTCATTTTTATCTTTTCTGTTGAAAACAATAGTAGAACAAACTTACAGCTTTCTCATGTTTTCCATCAGATGTCGGGATAACAACAAAGTAATGACCTCACCATTTCTCTGTCTGTCTCCCTGCAGAGGGAGAGACTGCGGAATATCGAGAGGATCTGCAACCTGCTGAGGAAGGTAAGCAGGAGGAGTCATCATCGATTTAATACAATGAGCTAATTAATAAAATTATATGACAAAACACATGCTGAAATGTTCAAGGAAACTCTGATAAAACCTTAGATTTCTGATGCATCTTCAAGTTTTGCTCATTTCACTTACAAAGGCCACACCGAGAAAGATATTTACTTTGAATAGTTTACTGTATTATGCATGCTAGAGACGAAGGTAAGGAGGGATGAAGGTAAGGGTTGAGGGATGAAGGGATGAAGGTAAGGGTTGAGGGATGAAGGTAAGGGTTGAGGGATGAAGGTAAGGGTTGAGGGATGAAGGTAAGGGTAGAGGGATGAAGGTAAGGGTTGAGGGATGAAGGTAAGGGTAGAGGGATGAAGGTAAGGGTAGAGGGATGAAGGTAAGTGTTGAGGGATGAAGAGAAGTTGCTCTCTGTATGGAGCCCCAGTGGTCCCTGTATTCAGTCAAGTGAAGAAATACAGAGGGGTTTTGGGCTGAGGGATTTGAAATTATTGTCAGAGGAATAGTAGTGAGCAAGGCGTGTGTTAATATGAAACAGAAATGGGTTGTGTTGGAGTCCTGGTCTTTGTTCCAGAATATTTCAGCTCGTGGATCCGTCACACATTCAGCCCATGTTTCAAGTTTGAAGACTCATTATTATTTTCACATCCCTGCCTTTATATATTGATCATTTCCTTATCAGGTTATTAAAATGCATGGCTTCTGTTTGACAGTTTAGCACTTTATTTTTAAGTTTAGTGGGATGGTGGGGCTGCATATCAATATTCTACAGGTCTGCTCTCACTAGTTCAGCTTTTAATTAATTTTTGATTTGAGCAGTGAAGCTTCCTTTGTATTCCTGCCTCGTGTTGAACTGACATCAAAGAGGAGACAGAGATTGAGAGGTTCTGTGTTGTGCTCATGCTGCCTGTGTGTGTGTGTGTGTGTGTGTGTGTGTGTGTGTGTGTGTGTGTGTGTGTGTGTGTGTGTGTGTGTGTGTGTGTGTGTGTGTGTGTGTGTGTGTGTGTGTGTGTGTGCAGATAGTTTGCCTTAAGGATTCAGTATGAGGATGAAAAAGAGGCCTCCTTCCAGCTTTAATGTGACATCTGTTTATTCCCCCACCTCTCTGAAACTCACCGCACATCTCACACTTGTTTGTGTGTGTGTGCGTGTGTGTGTGTGTGCGTGCGTGTGTGTGTGTGTGTGTGTGTGTGTGTGTGTGTGTGTGTGTGTGTGTGTGTGTTCTAATGTGTATTTCCGTTTATGCTTGAGGTTCATTGGATGAACAGCTGATCTTGGTTATCAGTGTTGTCAGCCCCAGCCTTCAGGCCTTCTGGGCCCTTGGGAGGACATCCTCCCTGCGGTGCTTGTGCAGAGACAAACACTGACGCACAAACACACACAAACACACACAAACACACAAACAGAAGCAGCAGACAGCACATGCACACATGTTCACACATCCATTTTCACTACCCTTGTGACCCACTGTGCAGAGATCACTGGAGGTAGCTGCAGTGCTGTGACAGTGTCCTCTAGCACATGGGAGTTAAAAGTTTTTTTATTTTCATAACAGTGTATCTTTATAGACCAATCCGTGGGAAAACTCGGAGTTAACAAGCCGCCATTACTCTGTTGGCATCTCCATTCTACAGCCGCGGGTTTGAATCAAGCTGTCCTGAAAAGTGAAAATGTGTCTAAACAATTAAACTTGTTACTTTACCTTTTACAACAATGTGAAGGACTTCAGGAAGAACCTGTGGAGTTTTACAGTTTACTAACAGTCGGGAAAAAACTTTAACCTTGTGAAAAAACGGGGAGTGCACAACGAACAGGAGACACACCACTCACCCTGTTGAACATGATTTTACTGTTAAGTTGACTTTATTTTAAGGTGGAAGAAAAGTTGCATTTTGTTGCTTTAGGGTACTTAATCCCAATGAGGCCAAACTGATAAATCTTGCTGATATGTATAAACATGCATATCTACCTCCACAGAACTGGTAACACAACGCAGGCCAACGACCTTCTGACAGCGTAAAGGTATCATCATCCTGTCTGACCTCTCTGTGTGTGTGAGCTGATTGATAAAGACGATTATCTATTGGCTGAAGAACCAAAGCAAAGACTGCCTGAAAGAAAGCACAGCCCTGCCAACTGCCTGAAGACACAGTTTCCTTTCTGATACATCGAGCCAAATGTATTCATATGTTTGCAGTTTGTGAACTTCATGCTCAGAATCCATGAGCTATATTCCGCCTGTGTTTGCGGGGCCTGTCAGGGAGGACGCCTGAGGTCCTGATGCAGGAGGATCTGCTGCATTGTGGAGGCTTGTTTCTGCACAGCTCCTCTTTCCACCACTAAAACTATTCAGCTTAGTCCAACTGGTACAGTCGCTGCACGGTGGTCCTGATTGATTTGGTTAAAAGCTTTGGCTGCCTTTCTTTAAGTTGGCATGCCTATTTGATAGTTTTTACTACACACACACACACACACACACACACACACACACACATGCAGGTACATGGCCGTGTGCTGTTTTTGTTCTCCTGCAAACCTGTGAAATGACAATAGTTTGAAGGGTGTGTGTGTGTGTGTGTGTGTGTGTGTGTGTGTGTGCGTGCGTGCGTGCGTGCGTGCGTGCGTGTGTGTTATTCATTAGATGTGTCTTGAAGCAGTGAGTCGGTGCGTTGTCACAGCAACTGAGCAAACCTGGGTGTGCTCATTAGCTCTCTTCCTTCCTTTATTTTTGGGTCGGTCTTGCCCCCTTTTTTTTGCTCCTCCTCTATTTCTCTATCCCCTCTTCTTTTTTTTTATCTCTCTCCTCTTCCTCTCCTCTTGCTCTCCTCTTCCTCTCCTCTTGCTCTCTACACCTCAGTAAAGCGTAGTAATGAGAAGGTGGCAGAGGACGAGCGCAGCACTGGATAGACTTCTTCGCGCGGTGCCATGGGTATTCTTTAAATTGCCACCATGCAGTCTTCTTTGGCTGACTTCCACTCGTGTTGTCAGACAATTTATTAAATCTGTGACTTTTATAAATAATGTTTGCGTCCCAGTGGGAAACAATCTTCAAGAGGTGTCGCAGAGAGGAGGACATCTGTAGCTACTGAGGAAGTGAGAGTACAAACTTACAGTTTGAAACTGTTGTCTGCCCCATGTGACATCATCGTGTTGCTTTACCCCGACTGATACAACCAGCTCTTTATTCATGACTTAAACCATACACTCAGTCAGCAGCGTGATCCTCTGTGTACGTTTCATTACCATTATGATTGTTTTCTATGGAAACTAAACCGTGACAACAGCAGATCCTGATTTGATACTTTCTCATTTTATTTTCTCTTTTCTGATCCTGAGTTACGGTTTTATGCCTTCAACATTTCTGAAGGCATAATGATCGGTGTAATGTTACTAGGAAAGGTAACGCTCTTATATGGATGAATCCCTACGGTTTAAGGGTGCTGCCATCTTCCGGTGGCTGCCATTACTGCGGTGTCATCTCAGTGTCTTCTTCTGCCTGTTCACTGGGACAGCTGCTGATGAAGGAACCTTAACCCGTCAACCTTCACATCATTTAGATTTTACATGTTAGACATCTTTCAGAGCAACGACCTGATGGCATGATGGAGAAATAAAAGTAATCAACCATCCAACACATAATATGTGATGACATGCAGTTTGATATAACGCTCGTTAGCTTCATTTCTTAAAGGCTTTATATGTGATTTTGTGATCCAGCAGATGTCGCCCTTGAGCACCAGCATGAAACCAAAATAACTCACGCTAGCGATCTTTATTATGCTCGTATCTTCACACTGCATGTAAATTTACCTGAAATGAGCGTGATCTAGAAACACAGTTAAGCAGTGAGTACAGTATGTTATTCTTCTTTTCTCTAGTCCCTCAATTAAACAACTAAACAAAACTCTGAAAACATCACAGACAGTGGGACTCAGTCATGACTCACAGAGTTATTTTCAGAGGATATACTTGATTTCTATTACATGTAAGTGTGAACAATCACATATAAAGCCTTTAACTGCTGCATTTAATCATCACAGATTAGCTGCATTGTGAAATACATTTCTATAGATATTCATTTTGCACGTTTTCTTTTTTTTTTTTTACTAATTCAGATGATCTTTAAAGGTGACATGCAGCCCTGACCTGTTGATGCTCGCTATAGACCAATGTTATATGAGATCATTTTATTAATCACCCGGGGATGGATGACTCAACACCACCTACAGATCACTCACAGAGGCCAGACCTAATTTTTAAAATTCTTATCTCGATCTACGGCTGAAGAATATCTTATCACCACTTCTGTGTCGTTCTTATTTTGTCACGTCTTGTGTCAGTCTCCCGCTGTGAACAGCCAGGAGTGTGCATGGGGGAAAGACATGAGAGAGGAGTCAGATATGAAGCGCTGCTCAATGATCTCTGTGTCAGTGTGAGTATTAGTGTCTGTGTTGTTTAGTGGCGGTTCATGTGGACATGTCAGTTTGTTGTAGCACAGTTGCTTCAGTGCAATTGTGATGGCTAACAGGATCATCCAGAGCAGTGTGTATCATCTGGATTTAGCTGATGGGGTGCATGGTTTCTATGGTAACACCCTCCCATCGCCTGGACCTTTTTAACTGCCTGTACACAAGACGCGCTACCTGAACAGCATCGCTGTGTATTTTAGAGGTGCAGTATACTGTAGATCAGAGGATCCATAACTTCACCCCAAGATGCTCCAGCTGCTTCGCTGGAGTTATGAGAACGTGTATGAATGGATTGGCCAAATAGACTTGAGCTTGATTATTTCTTTTCTAGTCTTGTGACTACTCAAAGCTCTTTTACACCACAGATCAACCTACACATTCACACACTGATGGTAGAGGCTGCTGTGTAAAGAGAACATCAGGAGTAACTCATCCATTCATACACATTCATACTCCATTTACGAAGCAGCGGGAGGACACATTGGACTGGAGGAGCTGGGGATGAGACCCCTGACC